TATTGCTATTTGCCGAATCATGGTGCACGTCCCACTCCCATACATACAAAACCTTACCACTTCACGAGAATAAAATATCTCCTTTCACTAAAACTAAGGCCAATTGACAACGCCGCGGGGAATCAAAAGGCATAAAGGCAGGTATTTATCGAAATCCCATATGTTGACTGGTACTGAGCAGCTTCGTAGGCGAGCCCTGTTATTTCAAATCACATGTTATTTTAAATATCGGTAACAGGTGCCGACTGTTCCATATCGATATCTGTTCCCAGCAGATAGTGGACGACCAAGAGGTGCTCGGGTTCCAGACATAGAGGAACAGCAATTGGAAATAAGAGCAGCAGAGCCTTGCAGAAGTACTCGGAACTCTGCACAACAATTGACACCTTGCCGAGTAATAATTGCCGAGGACTTATTATAGGACACGTTAAATCTTTGGTCTACCGAACGCCGGTACAAGTTGAGCACGAGTTAATTCCTTAACAAATTGAACACGAGTTAATTAACCAAATACGAGAAGCTGCTTAAAATGGAAGCCTAGTAATTCTGCGAAGAGTGCTTTGTTTGGAGTTACACGAGAACTTCAAAGACCTCTTGTGATTTAACAACTTGTAAACAGATCACTGATCTGTAACCATTTATAGCAGGGTTTTGCTGTCATCCGTAGCCCTAACTTAGTTCATTGCATTTCAACCTCACTTTCTGTGTTTACCTCGAAGGGTTACTTGAGCTTTTGCTATTTACGAAGGTTACTTGAGCTTTTGCTATTTACGAACCTTGAAACACATTGTTGCCGTACTTCTGATCTAGTTTTTTGCAAATATCTCGGTCTTTGATAAGAATATTTTTATTTACAACTTACTCCCAAACATCCCAAAGGAATGACTTCACAAAAGATGACCTCAAGCGTCACTTTTTTACGGACAACACGAAAAAACCTTTAAAATCTTCTCTAGAAATTGTATGTTGGTTACGCAGTATTTTAAACTTTTGCATACACAACAAGCTTCTCTAGTCGAACCGTAGGACTGACATTGCGGAAATAAAACGAGTGCAGAAATGAAGACTCCTTCTACTCGTGTCTACTTTAGCTCCTTGAGTACCTTTTCACTGGTCCTCTATCTAGCACCCAATGGCATGTAGGTGTTGAAATGTGCTTGCAACGGCCTACTCAGGTTCAATAAATTAATGTAATAGTAGTGTGCGTAGGTGTGGCTAATGGCTAAATGGGGCAAATCTTATCGATTTTTTCTTCGAATTTGGCACAGATCGAATGCCATATGCATGCGAGATGGCACAGCGCAGTGTGAATAATCTGGCAATTACGGCCCAGATAATAACGACTCATTTACGCAACCTGAACACAATTCAGCGGAAGCCCAAGTTCATTAGAACACCAATGATACCTGCACGATTTCTACTAGTACCTGCTATTTTTACTCACAACCTTCAAGGTGTTTAAAGCTGGTTTCATTCATGAAAACAAATATTTAATATACGGTTCGGACGGAGAATTGCCATCAAGTGACTGATGCGTTTGGTTCATTCGTATCTAGTCATCTTAGCAATTAGTATTTGATTAAAGTGACGCCGATAAGTCCCTGATTGCCTGATTTCTTCAATAATCTGGTCTATGCAATAAAGCCAATGCAGTTTAAATGAAGCAAGTAGGCCAAAAGTACGCAAACTAAAACTAGTCGAAGACCCCAAAAATTGAAACCATCACAAATGTCTTCTGATCTAAAGTGATTTTAGCCAAAGAATTTTTGCGTCAAACTTCCAAAAATTTCACATAATTTGAAAAGGAAATGGAAAGAAACGCAAGCCTATGGATTGAGTTGGGAAACACGACACCAGTTGACGCCACTGGGAAATAACGGCGTTGCCGTCGTTTCGCGTTTGTAACAGAGACCCAAAAAATCGATCAAGAACAAACCCGCAAATGCGGCTGGCTAAATCTTCAGGCTGATATATATGATAATGATTTTGGGGCACGTTCAGAAAATAGATCGCGGGTTTTTTTTGTGAAAAGGTGTGGCTAACACTTCATTACATTAGAAGCTTATAAGCTGAAACTAAAAAATAATTTATTTTTAGGTGCTTTGGATGCCGCAAAGTGACGATCAACTGTTAAGCAATCAGTCCACTAGAAGACGGAAATGCTACTAGCCGAAACGTTGTTATAAAAATTGTGTAATACAGTGAATGAATGAAGAAGTTATTTAAAAACTATATTTGAATTATTCCGAAATTAATAGCAACTGCCTACGCAATCACTGAGCTGCAAATGGTTTTAATCTAAGATGATTCTAAGAAATGAGCGTCTTATCAATATGAATAAGGGAATTTTTTTAATCAGACCATTATCTAGGTTTTCATAGCTCAGACGCATGCACAGACTTTTTTGCCTCAGCGCTAAAATACTTTTTCGATAACACTAAAAAAAATGCGCTTATGGATTTAAATGTTGACTAAAGATTTTGCATTACAACGCCTGGCAACACCGTGAAGGCTGGCCAGACCAAATGTACGAGAACTGGGCGTGAAACGTCCAAACTTAGTGAAAAAGTGTGTGTTTTTCCAGATATGTAACCCTTGGATAACTGAGCCAGGTACCGTACACGTTTCATTAGATTGCCGTAATTGTTCAGACCAAAGCGCCACTTTAAAACCCGTCTAATGCTCCACAACTGGCCATTTATTGATCATCTGTCCCTAGTGTAGTTATTTTTATTCATAGTGTTTCGCTTCTGATTTTTTTCCGAATCCTGATGCTTCCAGCATCAACTCAACCGGCCAGTTCAGCCACACAAAAACTGGGAAAAATCCTTTGTCACGGTTCTCCTTTTTAAGGAAAGGTTATAATGTAAATAACGCACATCTCAAGTTGCTCTACTGATATGATCGGTCAGTTTTCCAGTTGTTTATATGAGCAAATCCATGTATTTTTAGCTTCGCATGGCCTAATTGATTAGTGTTCGAATGGCAAGCCAACCCTTCGTTGATTCTTAGGGTCCAATCGATAAATCTGACATTCTCTTTTATTTATATTCGCCATAATACATCAGGGGTGATTTAAACCCAGCGGCGGGGTTAGTGGACTTTAAATGCCAACAAACAGCTGAGCTGAGCTGAGTCGAACCTCTATCAGACCCACTTGATTAGAGCACTCCCAGGGGTGGTTAATTTCAGTTGTTTTGCCGAAAATCAATAGGCTCGTTTTTGCCATCTTCACGCCAATTCAAGCTGCAAAATGTTCCCATTTCGCATTTCCAGTCAATGTTCGTGGAACTTGAGTGTGTCTTGCTTAAAGCAAACCTCAAGGTTCTACATTTATCAAAAATTGTGGTTAGTCATTACCAAATATCCGGGACTATTAGCAGTTGCTTAAATACAGCAGTGATTCACTTAGAAAGCCAATATTGAACGCAGGCAGGGTCGATTAGTTGAATTGCAAGTATGGGCATTTTTATTCCCCGCAATAAATCCGCATTTCCCCACGTTTATAGGGATCGGTTTAAGTGTGCTTGTCATAATCCATTTATCCAATAAAGTGGCCGATGCTCTAATGGAAAAAGTCTGTTAGACGGATTTATGTCGCTTATAAGATGCAACAATTAGGCTTCGATGATGATTAAGAAACAATTCGGCAATTCCAGCTCCAGTGTGCAATAAGAAACATTTTCTGGTAAACAAACGACATCTTCTGTTCGTTTCCGCATAAGTAACGTTTAATAAAACTCGACGTATTTGCCAATCAGTGCACAATTCCTCCAACTAAAAATACTAATATGAATCTAATTGGGGTCTATTTCTGATGTTTTCTCCGTTGTGATTCAACGATTTGCCCGAGAAGCTATAAATAAGGAACAGGAGCCAAATATTATGAAGGATAACAATCAGTTGAGGAATTATTTTTAGAATGTGTTATAGTAAAATCTACTCATCAATGGGCTCTCCCTTTGCAATACATTCTTTGGTCAGGATTGCAAACATTCTCGCTTTATTCATTACCCCGATTCTTGCTTACGGAAAAACCGGCATGGTTAGCCGGTGAAGATGCACGAAACTATTTTTGAATCAAGCAATTTTCCAAAGAAAACAAATTTCAATCAATTTTTTTCTGATAAAATCGTATCGACAAAAACATTAAAAAATGCAATTAACCGTTCATGTGATCTGAAAAAATCAAAATTGGACGAAGCGAATTTACGGCTGAGAATATCAAAATCGCAAATGCAAGCGAAACATCTGGAGGAAACTTTTCTAATCATCGCTTCTACAAGGCATTAGTACATTTTATAATGAATTGGGCGCAAACTCTAATTCCTCTTTTCTGAATGAGTGCAATCCGTTTCCAGCCGAAATATTTTCCCTTCTTAAAATGCAATTTTTGTGGTAAAGCTGGTGAGTTTTTTAGGCTTTTTGGCACCTCCAGATGTGATTTGTTCGGTGCATCGACCACTCGCTCTTGCAAAATCTCGTCAGTTTGAAGCAGTGACCACAAAAGCCTAACTCTTGAAAGTTTCTTGGACGTCCTGGTTATCCTTCAGGATTTCTGATGGCTCAAGAGTAGTCCGTCTGACGGGCGCCGAGACTTCCTGCCGCCTCCATAGGCGGCATCCTGCAGGACAATTATCTGGATATATGGCGCGTTTCGTAAGAAAGCACGCTAAACTTCTAGATCGCTCGCTCTGCCTATCAAACTATCTGTTTTGGGGTGGGCTTATCTTGTAACAAATCAAAAATGATTTTTTGAAAAATTCTCCATGTTCATGGATACATAAGGGGCATTATGCAACCCCCCCGGGTCCAGCCTCCCCCTTTTATATAGATATAACCGAGAGCTTGTTTTCAAGCGTCGCGCCAAAGTGGCGCCGGTCCTCGCCAGCCAATGGGAACGCGGCGTCCTTCCCCACCCATCGGTTTCTTGTAATATTCGGTGGCACGCCAATGGGGCCGGTTTTTCTCAAACGAGGGGATGAGGAAATTCGTTCACCCTGGCATGTGATCAAGTTTGGGTCATTTCCCAGTGAGGCTTTGCGGTGTTCGGTTACAGCCAGCTTTCCCTTCTTGGTGTATAGATCGACTGTTCGGTGCAGTTTCCACGATGGACTTGTAAGTTTTCCTTCAATTTCTATTAGTTACTTTCCATTGTATTTTACTAGTGTTCTTTCCTAGATCGTTGTAGTTTACAGCAGGTTTGCACTTTCGTGTTCTCTATTTTTTCTTAAATTTTTATCTTGCAATAGCTTCGGACTTTAGGTATTTGCAAACCCTCTACAGCCTTTCGCACTTTCAGTTTATGTTACTTTTTACTAGAACTTCCATCTAAGTATTGACACTGTTCGGCATTTTTCGTAAATCTGAACTTCACCCCTTTAACGATTTAAGAGCAAAACAGTCAATCTGTTGAACATGCCGGTGAAAACCTTTCAACAACCCCATTGCATCGAGCCTGATTAGACTCGCGATAATTCCAGAAGAGCCCCCTTTTCCTTAATTAAGCAGCGATCGCAATTAACTGATGGATAATCGCATAATCAGTGCAGGGGCGGCGAAACCTCTGGGGGGGCCAAATCCACGTCCATACACGAGCCCCTACATTTTTATCGTCTGACCATAAACATGCAAATGAGCACATCTCGGATCTGTTAAGTTGCCCATCCTGACGGCTTTGGGGCTGTAAAAGGCCGATTTGCATTACTGAAGAATTTAATTTCGGAAATAATACGACCCACTATAAACCGGCAAATGTGTGATATAAATGGCGGTTTATCGGGACTTTGTCGCTTTAATGAACGTGCACAACGTCATCGTTTAAATATTTTAATGAACGATTACTAAACACTGAGTTTGGCCAGTGATACAATCCGTGCAACTTGAAGAAAGAAGTTTCTTTTCGATAAGCAATGATTATTGCGCTACAATCCGGACGGTTTTATATCGTCGATGACCTACACGTTATGCAAAACGTGTCGATTTCGTTTTAACGCAACAAACATAGTCGTTTCTATGTAGGAAAATTCATGGAAAAATAGCTGCTGTGACTGTTTCAAGAAGTTGATTTCTTGACTTTCTGGGTCAGTTTTCCAATTTCTCAAATTCAGAAACTTCTAGTTAGCAGAAAGCAGAGGCTTAAGGTCAATTGATCTGCTTCCTGCATTCTGCGGTTGTATAGGTACCAAAATCAAGAGTTCATAGAACCGTACCAGCCGAATAGCGGACAATTTCCCGAAATCCCTCAACATCAAGTTGCAAGTTTAAATATATCACATCCTGATTACCTCACGTTACATTGTAAGTAATAACCCCAGACGCGAAAATATGATCGGCAGAAACAGTTTTAGACGGCGCGTCCGAAACGTCGTAAAACGCATGGTAAAGCGTTCCATGTATTAATAGAAAGGATTCAAAGAGCAACAAAATCAGGACGACAATCATTACTGTTTGTTTGAGTATACTTTGACGGTTTTTACGAGCTCAATCCTGTCCTGGGCCCGATTGGTCATCTCGATATGGCCATCGAGTTATTAGCCAATAAATCGGTGCCATATCATTGGATTAGTGCGGTTTATTGGGGAATTAGAGCGAATTCTGTGGCTGGTAAATAACTTGACGTTTATAGAATAGCTGATTGTGTGCCCACCACCCACTCCTGACACAACAAGGCTCACTTGACGTCACTGTCATATGCACGAATCTCATCCTAATTTATTTGACATTTCTTAGTGGGCCCGTGTCCCAAGCATCCGTTTGTACGATGGTACGATGATACGAAAGTGTTTCTATTGGTTGGAGATCTGTCAATTCGTCATCCGTTCGTACGACGGATGACGAATTGACAGATCTCCAACCAATAGAAACACTTTCATATCATCGTACCATCGTACAAACGGATGCTTGGGACACGGGCTTTACGCTATACACTTCTCAGCTTTGTCAAGAAATGTCAAGCTGTTTGCATCGAAAACCATTAACATTTCGAAATAGAATCCAATTTTTTGGTTGGTCTGGAAAGGAACAAACTGCATTTGCTTGCACATAGACCATGGGCGAACGCGATTGGTGCAAACTGTCGCGAAAAATTGCCGTAACATCGAAAACCGAAAAGTGGGCCTCGTTGAGTGACATCAGCCAAGCGATGAACCTTTGTAGTACGTGCCCTCTTATTATTTCGGATGCTAAAGGGCCGAGGGTGAAGGCAGCCGACACGCTTCTCTCCTGCGTGATATCGATGTTGTGAGCCGCAAATGTTCATTTGTGCCTGCCCTTTCATTGGCGAATTAGCCGCCAGATCAAGGCCCCAAATTTGCAAACAGCAACAACAACGAATGGAATTTTCCCCAATTTACCTTCTTTGTAAATGTTCACTAGGGGGCCGCTGTTGGAAGAGAACCGGGTGACGTCACTCGGTTCTCACGTGATTGCCTGCGATAATTATTGGGGTTAAGTAATGAAAACAATTAGTTGAAGGTATTGGTGCTAGCAAGCAATAGCCCCATTCCGAACCACGTGCATCGCACCCTGTTTCTTGTCCTGCCCGCCTATCGATTGCATTCGCGGGGCGTCGGAACGGCCGAGCGACGCCGAAACGGCGCCGTAACCGACGCCGGCTCGGCCGACGACGCCGCACGGCCCGTTGCCCAGCAACTCAGCATTCCTGCTTAGCGATCCAGTGGCGCAGAAAGCCTTTATCTGGAATTTATTAATCCCGATCGCTTATCTTTGCAGAAATACGCAACCATGTCACTTTCACTGCGAATTAACATCGTCGACAGCAACGTCACGAAAACGATCGTCTTCAGCTCGCCAACGACTGTCCACGACGCCTGCAGGATCATCCGGGAGAAATGCCCGGAGGCGACTGTGCAACGTAAGTCTTCCTCGTTGGCAACTAAAGCGAATGCGACACATAACGGGGTTATTCGGTTCCAGATAAGGACTATGGCTTATTCCTGACCGACGAGGACAACACGACGGGAGTATGGCTGGAACCTGCCCGCAACTTGGAGTACTACATTCTGAAGAGTGGCGACACCATCGAGTACCGCAACAAGCTGAGAACGTTGCGCGTGAAGATGCTGGACGGTAACCAACCACTTGCAGCACCTTTCGAAGGTCCTCATTGGCTGTGTTGTTTTAGGCTCGCTCAAGACCATGATGGTGGACGACTCGCAAATCGTGGCCAACATGATGGTGGTGGTTTGCACAAAACTGGGCATCACCAACCACGACGAGTACTCGCTGGTGTTGGAGGAGCCGGAGAACCAGGAGAACATCGACAGCCGGAACTACGGCACTTTGACGTTGAAGCGAAAGAAGGAGGAGCGCGAAAAGAAGAACGACAAAATGGAGCAACTGAGAAAGAAGCTGCATACTGACGACGAGGTATTCAATCACGCCATAAACTTGTGGGCGTTTACTCAATATTGTGCGTCTCTGGCAGGTCAACTGGTTGGACCCGTCAAAGACGCTGCGCGAGCAAGGGATCGACGAACACGAAACCGTCCTGCTGCGCAGAAAGTTCTTCTTCTCCGACCAGAACATCGACTCGCGCGACCCCGTGCAGTTGAACCTCTTGTACGTGCAGGCGCGCGACGCCATCCTTAATGGCGCCCACCCCATCACTCAAGACAAGGCTTGCGAGTTTGCGGGCGTCCAATGCCAGATCCAGTTCGGCGATCACATCGAGAGCAAACACAAGCCCGGCTTTCTGGAGTGAGCAACCACCCCGACCCCAACCCTCACTCAACTGAATAATTCGACTTTGATTCGCAGCTTGAAGGAGTTCCTGCCGCAATGGTACGCCAAGATCAAGGGCATCGAAAAGAAGGTGTTCCAAGAGCACAAAAAGTGCTCAGGGCTCAACGAGCTGGAGGCAAAGGTGAAGTACACGAAAACTGCGCGTTCCCTGCCCACCTACGGCGTCACCTTCTTCTTGGTGAAGGAGAAAATGAAGGGGAAGAATAAACTGGTGCCGCGACTACTCGGAGTCACCAAGGACTCGGTCTTGAGGCTTGACGAGAAGACCAAAGAGACCATACAGACGTGGCCATTGACCACTGTCAGAAGGTAACCGCCATATACTTGCTAATCGAAACAACGTTCCCAATAACTCTGAATTGTTCCAGATGGGGCGCATCCCCAAACACATTCACGCTGGACTTCGGCGATTATTCCGATCAGTACTACTCGGTCCAGACTACGGACGCTGAACAAATTCAGCAAATCATCGCCGGCTACATCGACATCATCCTGAAGAAGAAACAGGCAAAGGACCATTTTGGAATCGACGGCGACGAGGGCTCCACTATGTTCGAAGAGAGTGTGGCGCCACACAAGTAGGCTTTTTACAACAATCGCCCAGTCTCTGCTCAATCTTTTATGTTGATTCCAGAGCGTCAATCATCCAGCACGAGAGCAGCAACATCGGCAAACTGGACGTGCACTCATTGGCCAAGCCGGCCATCCTCAGGACCGGCGACTCGGGTATGTATGTCGAGTAGTTGGCGTTTAATTTTCTTTGGGATTTTGGTTTTTTAGTTCGGTTTTTTTTTGTTTTCTCCCTAATCAGGTCAAAAGCAAATTCATATGGGCGCCATGGAGAGTCCCAAGTTAACCACTGTAAGTGGACAGGCCAACTTGGCGCATACGGCTCCGATAACGGTAAGCCAACTTGCCCTTGAATCTCACTAAAACCACTAACCATTAGGGGTTTTGCTTTGGAACACCTCATTCCAAACCAGTTTAGATACCAAAAAACGTCCTATATGAATTTCTTGGTGATGTGATCAGCCATAAGCGCCCCATACACGAGCGAAATATCTGTCATATCTGATACCTGGCGAGTCAAGTTCGAAGAAATGTCGGTGCGTTAATGGTTAAGAACGAGCCAGATACGACTCGATGCGAATTTCGTACAAAATAAAACCGCAGATCTGGACTTGCTGACCAAATTTCGCCGTTAGTGGCGAATTCTATTATCAGATATTATTGCCGCCTAAGCAGTCATGCTATGCCATATTTCCGCGACTTGAAGAAAATACATATTCAGATAAAATTTAACGGTAGACGTTGGTACAGATTTGAGATATAGTGTAAAATGTTATAATTCAAGCAATGGGCAAGAGATGATGGAAAATTTAGCTATAGAAATCTTGGAAGATGATGAAATAGTAGCTAATGTCACGGGTGAAAATCACTACTTCGACTACAAAGACGAAGCTTTTCAAAAAATACCCAGTAAATAGGCGGTCGATTAATTTAATTTGTGCCTACGTTGGGCCGAAGAAAATTAATTTGCCACTGTATAAAGTGATTCTTCGTATTTGAATTATAGATATGTTACAGACGGTATATAGAATCAGACCGTATATGTACAGACGAGGCCATATGTTCAAGCGCAATGATGTTTTATGTGATGTTTACATTTTCAATTGGCAACTGCAAAAATTGTGGTAAAAATAGTTTGTTCTTTGTTAAAGGCGACGCTCCATATGATATATTTCAGATATGAAGTTACAAAAGCAAATCAGGTGTAGTCATTAATAATATGAGCTCAAATTTAAAAATATAGGTTTTACGAACAACTGTATGAGCGAACAAAATAGGTTGCCCAGAACAGCCGGGGTTTAACTAAAAGGTACCTAATGATTAGTGTGCACAGAACACGTATGTATGTTTCTCAGAATTTGCAGTATTTCACTAAGAAAGTGGTAGATCAATTTGCCGTTTTAACGTTGGTTTTAATTCGTTCGGTTTGTATCGTTTGTTTGTTTTTCTATAATTATGTATTTAATTGTTTTAATAACAACGTGTTTATAAAGAAATCCCAGCGTGCATTCGATTTTTAAGTTTTTTTGCCGCATTTTTCCCTATGGCTGTCGACGCCCTTCCAGCATAGTCTCTAGTCTACCCACTTTCTTCTCACTTTTTTGCGTAGATTTTCTGAAGCCACTTTGATGCCAGCACAAGCAATAGCTATTCGTTTCTTGCTTCGCGTTTTAAACACTTAGTTTAACTAATCTGCCTCTGCCACGACCAGATCTTTCAGTTCACTTGAAATACCACGCGCCAGACCAAGTCTGTCTGAAACG